TCACTTATTCACATAGGTTGCATAAGAATATTTCTAACTAGTGGAGAAGCAAAAAATAGACACTTGTCTCCTTTCTTTTGTATGTTTTGTTCTACTGCTTCTATTGTATACATTATGCTTATTTGCTTTATGCTTCATCTTTACAAATTTTTTGTTGGGAAACAGACAATAATGAAAAAGTGAGGTAGGCTGGGATACTTCGACAAGTCAAATTGAGATTTATGTCAACATACTCATTTTACTTAGATTTATTTAGATTTCTTTAAATTTCCTTAAATTCATAAAACTTACTGGCAAATTTCTTTTTATTGCAGTATTTAGTATTTAGCATTGAAAATGGTGAACATCAAGAAACTGAAATGTGAGAACGACTTTTTTAATGTCCTTGTATTTTTATTACAATTTCAAGAAAGCAAAAACAGTGGATAAGAAAACATTCCAACCAAAGAGTAAGAGCAAAGAATCTTAAACAGCCATATTCCAAACCTTTAAAAAAGTACTCTATCAGGTTTCGCTAGAGCTCATAGCTTTTTCTTTAGGTAAATGGAACGCTTGACAATTTTGGGAGCACTTTATTTAACATTTGCAAAACTGAATGCCCCCCCCCCCTGGTTCATACGTCTCTGCTCTCTAGGCTAAACAATCTTCAACGTCAGCAGTACGGTGATTTTCTGGCTTGTTTTTAATAGCTCAGAAACCTAACAAATAAACTGGTTAACTATGAGCTCCCCTTCTCGTAACTGGTAGTAGTTTGGAATATACTATGGTTTCAACACTTGGGATACAGGATAACGTTGTAACGATGGATGGCCTTTTAATGCAAAAAAATTAAGCAAATTCGATTACTTTCAACATTTTTGAGTATTGAACATCCGACAATGAACAATGAACATATCGATGAGCTTGGAGACAATGAACACAGCAACGAGTCTATTTTCATCAATTACCTACACTCTTTTATAAAACCAGTAAATTCAAGTTCAGGCTGACTGTGGCTTAACTGCACTGTTTTCGAAAATCTGAGGCTCGATTGTTCTTAATTTGTTCTTAAATCAATAGGGTGTAAGCAGTGCGATTGCTAGCTTATTCGCTCTAGGGAGGTGTTTAGCCATTTGCCAACAAAGTGAGTGAGACAACCTTAATTTGCCGTCAAGTTTGAATATTCATCGAAAAATCTCCAACATATGGCTAAAAATCTTCGTTTTTAAGATAAAACGCTGTTCAAAATTGCATTTTGCAGAAGCTAAGCCTCAGCTTGTGCTTAACCTTTTCTTAACTTTTGACCAATTTTGAGGTTCGTGTTCTTATAAACCTGTTCTTATAAAATTAACTTGCAATTTCAAACTATGAGTGGCTGTAGCGATGAATCTTATGAAACTAATTCAATTCGTATATACAATTGTACTTTTTGAACGTTAGGCAGTTTTCTTACGTTAGGTTACAAGGTCGCCGGAAGCTAGAGGCAGGAGAGAGAGCTGGAGCCCCCTAGTAATTTTCAAACTGTACTTTATTTCCTTTTTACTAGTGTAGTGAATAGGAAGATATACAATGGGCAGCCCCCCAATATGAATTTCGTTCCGACGACATTGGGTTATGCTATCCTGTCTGCCATGCAATTTTGTTGCAACTCTGTTTATTTTCACATTTGCTAATTTTCAGTATCATATCTACCTCCACTATTTTCTCAAACTCTGCATTCTTAAAATACTCACTACACGTCATTATATTTCTCACATGACTCCTGACTCATGCTTACCCAATGCCCAAGCCCACATGACTCCTGACTCATGCTTACCCAATTTCTAGCATCACCCTTCATCATGCTTCCTAATCCTTCGTCAGCGCTTAATTTTAGAATCGTCATAAGCCTATATATAATCAAGTTCAGTGGTAATTAGTTAGTTTTCATGTTCGCTGAAGAAAGGTGTTCAAAAATCCACGACAAGAGCTATTAAACTTTATTGCAAGAACATGGAGAAATCCAAGGAAGAAACCAATGCTTCCATCCTGAAATTGAAAGCTGGCTTTAAATCAAAGGCAAAAGAGAGGGAAAAATACCAGGAAAAGAGAAGACAATATCTAGAGTTAATTGGTCAACCAGCCCAAAGCGATTCGGCAGACCTTGAAGCAGCTGCAGGAAGAGTGCTTTTTCTTGCAGCTCCATCCATGAAAAAGCAGAAGACAGCTGCTGGAGCCAGAGGCTCGGATCATGACTCGTCTTTCCAGCTATTAAAAAGCGATGATTCCGGGGACATATTAGAAGGTCTCAGTGAAAATTTTGATGTTTTTGGCGTAGAAAGTGAAAGCGAGCTTTCTGATTATCAGATGCTTGACACCATGGAAAATGATAGCACCTCGGCTTGTAAGCATGAAAAGAGTCGATCTCCTTCATTTTTAGCCACCACAGCTACTGCTTCAACTTCAATGGGAGATTTCAAAACCGGAAAGGTCAGAACAATTTTTAAGCATTTATTTAATAGGTTTATTTTTTCACAATTTCCCTTTAATTTGAGTTCTTATAGGACTTTTTGAGTTTAGAATATCTTTGATTTCACAGAAGGACAGATTGTGCAATTAGTACTTTATAGGTATTTCATTCATCTTTTTGTGTTGATAAAGTGCCTTGTATCGTTATAAAACAGAGCAGCCTATTATGAAATTATTGTCATTTTAATCTAATTTTCTCGGCTGTGTGAATTTATGATATTATTTCAGAGTATTGGTGCTGCTGATATGTTGAGTCTCTATATCTTCGAGCTGACTCAACACAACGCAATAACGTGCTGCAGTGAAGATTTTACAAGTTTTTGCTTACTCGATTTTAATGAGAAAAAGGGTTGCTTAAAGGTAAGCTATTAATTGTCTCTGTAACACATGTTACATGTAAAATAAACATCGCTTAGCTTCTTTGGGTGTGTTCTGATCAAGATTTGAAGAACCTAACTGTATTATTAAATTAAATTAGTGAGATTAAATTATTGCTTGATTAAATCCGTTGAATTGACCTTTCGATATAAAAACCTTAATCGCATTTAATTGAGTAATTAAACTCCTTTTTGGTTAACAGAAGCATGTCATTTTTCGAAAAAGCGTTTGGTCCTTAGCATTTGGTAGAATAACTACCATTATAAGGTCTTTTGAGAATTAGCCAAACAAATTTTCTGAGACCTTAGCTGGTTTAGATATTATTTGTTGGGCTTGCTGTTAAGATACTCCATCAATACTATGACTGAATATACAATTTTTATTACACAGGTCAATTCCTTTGTATTTACCAACCGAAGAGCCGTTAAGTTTGGGGGAGATGAATGGCAGTGGACATACGCTTGTTCTTGCGTCAAGGGTCAATCGCAGTTTTTGGAAAATATGATGCTCTCGACCGGAATTTCTTTTCAGGGTAATAATTATAGTTGTACTTGTCAAGCATTTTCTAGAATGAATTACAAATTAATGCCAACATGAAAACAAATATGAAAAGAGCGTTCTGATGTTTATGCGTAGCTCATTGGCATGCCAGCTCTCAACGTTTTCATGTTATTCTATTCAATTTCATCAGAACTTTACTTACACTTTCCAGAATTTGGTTCTTTGTACTGGAACTGCATTCATGCCAAAGCTTCAAAAATCATTTTGAAGAAATTCGATATCTTGAATAACTGTGACCCACTCCAGCACTTTCAATGTAAGTAGTTCCTCGACTACATTCTATTGAATTACATATATCTTTCAAGGCATATGTTGAAAATAAAAGACCGTCTGATATAAGAGAATCAAGAAAAGGTTGCAAAAATTGCCAACGTTTTCTACCAAACATAGACAACAGTTAAAAACCATAGTTATTTGATAACTTTATTGCCGAAAATAAACAGATTTTTTTACATTTTTACTTTATTTTAATAGATACTTGCAATGTTTTGACACGAAGTTTGAAAGGCAGTATTAGAAAATAAAATATTAACAATGAATTTTAATGTGTGAAAAGTCCGTCAAATTCCGAAAGTACACGAAACTTTACTTAATGCTAGACTTTTAAACACTTTAGATACCTTTAACAATATAATCAGCCTGGCACTTTAGTAAAATATTTAGATTGTTTCGAACACTGTATGCATATAAAGCACAAAGACTTTCGAATAATCATATCGAATCATCATATCCAATCAATTATCAAATCAATCAAATTGATTTGATGCTTCCAGCCACCCAAATTGTTTATATCATACTAAAACATTGTCATGGAAGTACTCATTATACTACACTTAACTTATATATCTTATCACAGATCATGTCTATTGTGTCCATTGATATTAATGTTCATATGTCTATTAACTTATTTCTTTAAAGTTACAAATACATCAGATGAAAGCTGCTCAGGATTTGTTTATGACACATGTCAGCATGGTTATGTCACTGTTTTGTCGGAAAATGAAAATTCTTATGGTGTAGTGACAGCCAGGAATGGGAAATTAGCTTGCCTCAATTGCAAAAGTGCAAACTGCAATCATCGTGACGTGCTGTTGGGGTTAAAGGAAAGCGAATTTCTTTCACCGTCTGCAGCCCATGTTTTAGGTCAACTCGGCGAAGCTACCTGCTCTCCTTCAATGACTGTGTCATCAGTTTCCTCTAAGAAGATACCTTTCATGCACTTCAAGGAGCATCCAAGATGTAAACAGGATGAAGTTTCCTTTCTATTGGAGCAGGAAAATAGCAGCTTCATTTGCTTGATTCCACATTCATTAGATCTGTGTGAATGTGGGTTTGCATCAAGCCATGAAGACCCTAGACTCTGCTCTTTGATCGAAAGAGAAAATGTGCCTGTATTTTTGCAGGCTGATGTTTTGAATGCAACAAGTAAGTTTAAAGACATCCACTTTCTGTCCTTCGAGATAATTTAGCCATTAATCAGACTTTAAAAAGTTTAACGATTCAAACATAATTTATTTCTTTTGTTTGCTTTCTTCATACTCATTTGTCTGTTTTAGCATAAGATTAAAGGCATTTCTTCCTTTCTACTATTTTTGTTTATTTTAAAGAACGTTTTCTTTGCCACCAAAATCTTCCGAGACATTATCTTTTTCTTTTAGCATTAATAAATATTCCTTCCCATTCAGTTTATTACAGGCTTTGTCAAAACTTTGCTTGCAATAAAAGAATACGATTTGATGGTTGCAACGTTGGGTTAATCAACATGGGAAGCTACATAGTGAGCCACAAATTACTACGAAACTACATGTACCATTTTCTTTTTGGGAGGTATGTCAGAAATTATAATTATTGCTACTTTTTAACTAGTTTTGTTAACCGTTTCTACTACTGTGTCATGAAAAGTGGAGAAAATGTATTTAAAGTTTATGAAAACAATTCACCTTTTTTGCATATTCTATGCATATGCATTTGATTTGTAGTTCCATTTCCGCTTTGTTATCGCAACCTTTGCAACCTAAGTGAGCCAAATAAAGTATGGAAGTTGGTAAAGTCTTTTTATTAATGAGCTAATCCTTTTCATTGTTTTAGAATGCCAATGCACACATTTTTCACCGTGACAAAAGAGGAAGCGATTGACTGTGGGCTTTCCTCGTTGCTTTCCCTCTTGACATATGAAAAATTCCGAGCTGCATGGTATAGTTACCTGAATCTACTAGACGTATCATTTTCGGAAGGATTTAGCTGTTCTGAATGCAGGAGTAAACCAACGACGATTGTTTTTGATGCCACTACCTTGTCATTCCGCAAGCAAGCGACTCACTTATTAACAGACGATGTTAATGATTCGAGGATCAAACCTATAAAGAGAACAAGGTACAAATATACGATAGATTGATACTTATGTCTTAATTATCACATCTAGTAGTTTTGTGAGAGTTTACCGTCTGGTTTTCAAGTACTAAATGAAATAATTGAAACACTTGGGAATTTGTAATTGGGAAATTATTTTTGCTACGAACGACATTACAAACAATAGTCGAGAAAATTCAAAGAGATTTGCCTCGCTAAAACTTATAAACCAGTCAATCTGTCAGCAAACCAGCCCATAACCAATTAGTCAGTCTTTTTTACTCTTTTAAGATATACAATGATTTGATAAATTCCTTGTTAATTTAGTTTAGTTTCTCTGCATTTGTTTTTTTTACCCTTTTTAAAACAGGTGTACAAGTTTGCTTTTTTTCTCTCTCGCATAATATGGCTGTAGCATATATATACAGTCACAATTGGGGGATGCTCACGTTTTCAAGTGAAATCTTTTCAATGAAGATTATTTTGCCACTGGTGAACAGTTAATATAACACATGTTATTTTGTTTGCAGCCATTTCAAGGATCGCATTTTTATAAGTGACCAGGAGACGCGTAGTTTGTTGAAGAGATTTTCCTCAAGATCTGGAAAGAAGAGCAAGGTTTTAGATATACATGAGTACAAGAGTCTTCTTACCTTGCTGCAAGAACATTCGCCCGAGCTACATGACCTTCTCGTTTCTTTTCAAAGAGACACTGTAACTGAGGACCACAGTTATGGAAACTTCCTCACCAACAAGGAAAAGTTAATACCCTCTTTGTATAAGTGTCCGCGTATTTGGTCCCAACTTATCAGCTCTTTGGCAAGTCCCAGTCCTGTTTGCGGTTTACTGCATCCTGATGAAAGCCTTCTTGACCTGCTGAATCACATCATCACTACAACAGAACCAATTGACATTGGGCAACTCGTGGTATTCAAAGAAAAGTGTCCAGTTCTTTTCAATTTGTTTATGTCCTGCGAAAATAATAAACCACCCGATATGCTGAAACCTGTTTTGATCAAAATGATGGAAAAAGCAGTAAAGCCATTTCAGACCAGAGTAGAATGGGAGTCATTAAATATTTCACAAGACAGTTCTGCAAAGACTCCATACTCTTATTGGCCAGCATTGCCGCAACTTAGACGGAGAGGAGTCTATGAAACAGACAAAAGAAAAAGCAAGACAAGGGGGGAACAATGTACCAAATTAGCATTGGGGCACTCATTTCTATTGCCTGGCATTTTCACTCTGTTTTGCAAACATGGTATGTTTTTCCTCCAACACCAAATTCTTTGACAAAATTCGAAAATATGCATAATTAATCAAACTAGTGTTTATTTGCTTATTCTAAACGAGACAGGTTTTTCGGCCTATAATGAACTAGCATGTTTTGTGAAATAATGTAGAGGCTGCTACATAAAAGGTACTGATTTTTACTTCTTTTTGTAGAAATTTGTTATGGCTTTCAAGTGATGTTGTCCAGTGAATCGCCAAATGTTCCATTTGAAGTTATCTTCACGAGGTTTGAAGAAGGTGAATTTAATTTCTGTGTTTTTTCGTAATCCATAAATGTATTATTAGCTATCTTTGAGATGATTTGTCCCGTCTGATATCGCACCAAAAGTTTGAAAAGGACGTAATTTAAACCATCTTCAGCAGGCACGCCGGTGCTGGGAGACTGCTTGGGAGGGGAATGAAATAAGTTATTGAGATTGTGGCATCAAAGATTATGGCCAGCCTGTCTAGATCATCCCTGTTTAGTCTATGTGCCACATAATGTGGAAAGAAAGCTTTAAGTATATCATATAAAATTAGTAAGTTGACTTGGCAAATACAGACAAAATGGAAGGATAAAGGGCTGCAGCCCTTATCCTCTCAGCATCCCTTCCCCCTAAGACTGCCCTGCTCTACATACCGAAAATTGTTCTGTTAACATACATAGAAGTCTCTCGTACCCTGGTGCATGGGAGTCAAAGGGATGAAAGAGCTCTTTTGACAAAGTGTCCTTGACATTGTCATTATTTATAATTTATAAGGAATTGTGATTGTGATTGTATTTGAGATTGTTCAGTGTCTCGGTTTTTGACAAATGTTGCATGCTTCTTATTTACGTATGTCGGAGTACATGAACTTTCATGCTTTGCAGCTCCACTTCATTGTATCTACGACAATGCTTGTAATTTGCATGACTTTGTCCTAAACCGACAACCATCATTCTTTGCAAAGACAAAATTCTTTGTGGATAAATTTCATTGGCCTGGTCACACAGGTAAGTCATTTTTGAAAATTCCTTATTTCTTTTATATTCTTCATTTTAACAACAAACATATTTCGTTTAAACAATATGTTAACTAAACTAATTAGAAAAAGAAGATGAAAAATAAAAATATTTACACAAATATGATTGGTACGTTATATCTTTTCAGGTTGCAGCATTGGCTACAAGCTTGAAAATTATCCACACTTAAACAAGATCAATGACCAGATCAATGAACAAACGAATGCTTGTCTTAAAAGAATTAAGCCCCAACTGTCGTACATGACATCTCACAATTTCATGAAGCATTGCTCATTCTTCTTATGGTTTAGAAATGAGCTAACAAAACGCCGTATGCTTAAAGAACGACAATAGAATAAAGACATGTATTGTATATACTTACACATTTTCGAACTTCCACAATTTTAGTATCTTCCACACGAATTCATATAAAAACATTTCAGCGAATAGTATTGTGATTTTGAACATGTAAATTGATTTATACCTATATATACATTGTCGCATGTGGGTACAACAAATTTAGTATCTTCCACACGAATTCATATAGAAACATTTCAGCGAATAGTATTGTGATTTTGAACATGTAAATTGATTTATACCTATATATACATTGACGCGTGTGGGTACAACAAATTTAGTATCTTCCACACGAATTCATATAAAAACATTTCAGCGAATAGTATTGTGATTTTGAACATGTAAATTGATTTATACCTATATATACATTGTCGCATGTGGGTACAACAAATTTAGTATCTTCCACACGAATTCATATAGAAACATTTCAGCGAATAGTATTGTGATTTTGAACATGTAAATTGATTTATACCTATATATACATTGACGCGTGTGGGTACAACAAATTTAGTATCTTCCACACGAATTCATATAAAAACATTTCAGCGAATAGTATTGTGATTTTGAACATGTAAATTGATTTATACCTATATATACATTGTCGCATGTGGGTACAACAAATTTAGTATCTTCCACACGAATTCATATAAAAACATTTCAGCGAATAATATTGTGATTTTGAACATGTAAATTGATTTATACCTATATATACATTGACGCGTGTGGGTACAACAAATTTAGCATCTTCCACACGAATTCATATAAAAACATTTCAGCGAATAGTATTGTGATTTTGAACATGTAAATTGATTTATACCTATATATACATTGTCGCATGTGGGTACAACAAATTTAGTATCTTCCACACGAATTCATATAAAAACATTTCAGCGAATAGTATTGTGATTTTGAACATGTAAATTGATTTATACCTATATATACATTGTCGCATGTGGGTACAACAAATTTAGTATCTTCCACACGAATTCATATAAAAACATTTCAGCGAATAGTATTGTGATTTTGAACATGTAAATTGATTTATACCTATATATACATTGTCGCATGTGGGTACACAAATTTTAGTATCTTCCACACGAATTCATATAAAAACATTTCAGCGAATAGTATTGTGATTTTGAACATGTAAATTGATTTATACCTATATATACATTGTCGCATGTGGGTACAACAAATTTAGTATCTTCCACACGAATTCATATAAAACATTTCAGCGAATAGTATTGTGATTTTTGAACATGTAAATTGATTTTACCTATATATACATTGACGCGTGTGGGTACAACAAATTTAGTATCTTCCACACGAATTCATATAAAAACATTTCAGCGAATAGTATGTGATTTTGAACATGTAAATGATTTATACCTATATATACATTGACGCGCTGTTGGGTACAACAAATTTAGTATCTTCCACACGAATTCATATAAAAACATTTCAGCGAATAGTATTGTGATTTTGAACATGTAAATTGATTTATACCTATATATACATTGTCGCATGTGGGTACAACAAATTTAGTATCTTCCACACGAATTCATATAGAAACATTTCAGCGAATAGTATTGTGATTTTGAACATGTAAATTGATTTATACCTATATATACATTGACGCGTGTGGGTACAACAAATTTAGTATCTTCCACACGAATTCATATAAAAACATTTCAGCGAATAGTATTGTGATTTTGAACATGTAAATTGATTTATACCTATATATACATTGTCGCATGTGGGTACAACAAATTTAGTATCTTCCACACGAATTCATATAGAAACATTTCAGCGAATAGTATTGTGATTTTGAACATGTAAATTGATTTATACCTATATATACATTGACGCGTGTGGGTACAACAAATTTAGTATCTTCCACACGAATTTTATAATCACCGAGCATTTTTAAGAAATTTCATATACAGAGGGATTTGTGGACAGGCCCCAAAGGGAAATAACCGAATAAGGAACCCGGTTGATTTGAAACCAATGACCGAAATACAACTTTTTCTTCTGGGGGGGGGGGGGAAACGGGGATCATTATTGACGTTTGAAGAGAATTTGAGGTTATTCTTTGTTTTTTTGCTCAAGCTCTAGAACTAAACTATGCGAAAAATTAGTTGGTCGATTGAAGATTATGGTACAAACGCAATAAATCAAGGCGAATGGCTGTTGCATCCTCTGATGAGCCCAGTACTTTTACGATTGTGCCGTCTGCTTCTTCTTGAATTATATATCTCTAGAAGGTTACAAAATCAGCATTCAAACACATAAAAAAGGATGGTTTTTCTAAGTAAGGATGGTTTTAAATGTGACGAGATCCCCAAAGTGGAGTGGGCTCCGTGCTTTAACTGTTTCTTAAGCCCTAGAAAACACTGTGCGCTAGAATGTAAAAAAAGCTTAAACTGCTATGGAATTAAAATTTTGTCAAGGAATGCTTAACAATTTAGTTAACATCAATTTATATATTAATAGCTGAAAGAACGTTAAGCGCTATTTTGGGTGAAGGGCAAAAGTCGCTGAGAGGCCGCAGGATCTTTGAATGAGAGTTATACCGTAAATCCCCGAATTAGCCCCCTGGGGGCTCATTTAATTTTGATATTTTTGGACGGGGGCTTATTTGGGGGGCTTAATAGAGGGGGGCTTAAACGAGGGGGTCTCAAACGAAGGGGGGGGGCTTCTAAAACTATTGTAGACATTAAGAAGACATTATTAAAAGATCTCGTTTATTTTAGGAGGATTTTCTTTATGAGCATTAAATTAATTATTACCAAAAGTATGAGTTTTTGTGGTAATTCAATAAAATGCCAAAGGCAACTTCAGATGGCAAAAAGCATCAAATAGAGGGGTCCAATTTAAAAATTTACGGTAGCAGTGGTTTACGGTAGCAGTGGGGGCTTATTCGAGGTGGGGTCTTTTTCGAGGGGGGGCCTTTTTGTATGGTCTCTTTGTAAAATGATTCAAATTTCGATGATAGCGGTCCTAGTGAGGAAAACGGATTCTTAAACTACTTTGAATTTATCTGTTTAAAAGCATTTCAAGGTCGCAATGTTGCTGCTCCAAGCAACCAGTTAAAAAAGAATTGATGTAAACAATTATACTTGCATTTTCAACAACTTTTCGAATAAAGCTGAGGACCATTGGGCCACAGTCAATGCCTCCATTTTGTCTTGGTACCTTGAAAAGAGTGAAAATCCAAATAAGCTATAAGATGCAAATGGTGCATATGAAATGTGAGTGTTTTTATTATGAGCTCGGGCTTCTTTATTAAAAACAAATCTACAAGGCAATTTTTTTAATTGCAGTTTGTAGATATATTTAATGATCACCTCTCCTCGAAGAACCCGGATTTGGCGATTCTTTGAGCCAGCATTCGCATACAGGGCTTTTAGATAGCGAAGAAACTTCTCTTCTATTTTGAGCGTCAGTGCGTGACCTGTGGCGTTGGGAGCTGAATCCAAGACTACCAACCTAAGGAAGATTTGCTTAGTTAAATAGCTCCTAATTCTGACAAGATGGCCAATAAAAACTGAATATCCATTAATTTTTCTTGAAATTTGACATCAGTATTTAGAACAGAGGTAGAATTCGAATGCATTTTACCAGTCATTTTCCAAATTTGCAACAACCAGAATCCAATGCCAGCAATCTCTGCAAAATTGAAAACTTCAAAAGGTAATAAATCTTACAATAATAATTAAATTTATAATTTGAATACATGAGAAAAAAAGAAGGTAAAGCTGTAAAAACAATTTAGACACTACTCTGGGGTATATGGCAGTGAAGTATAGAAACACAAAAATGCCTTTCCCGAATACTTGTTATCACTGCTAAAAATAAAAGTATGGTAACTTACGGATTCAGACCGCAAGGATATAACAACATCTTTTTACTGAGAAGATCCTCATTTGGAAAAAGACGTGAAGATCTTTTGACCATAGTGGCGTCATTTTCTGATGTCTTTACCATTTCCCAGACAGCATCTGTCCCTATAAACACGTTCTTGCATTCCACAGGCAAAATCTCATTCTGCATATATCTATAAGAGAAAATAAACATTGAGGACAAAACCAAACTTTGATTTGATAACAGCTGCAATGTAATACCCGTAGCAGCCAACCAACCACCTAATAGCACGGGAGAGAGATTTTCTAGTGATACTTTATAGGTTATTCCCTGTGGCTCGGAAACTGGTGACGTACTGTTGCAAACACGCCTTAGTGTCCAAGCAGGAAACTCTGTTGCCAAAAATTTCTGAAAAAATAATCCACAGTTTCAAAACAAAAGATAATTATTTCGCGAGTCATGATTTGCCACATGGGTTATTCTAAGAAACCATAATCATTTTCACAAAATAAAGCACTGGCCTTTTTTTGTTAAGCTTAACAACTCTACTGTTGAGAAAAAACCAAAAAACAAATATAGTTTTAGAAACACTGACCTCTAAAGCTGGGATTTCCCTTTAGAATCTAGAGATTTCCCAAGTTCTCCCTAAAGCAACAATCCCCTAGAATCTATGCACAAGAGTGGTAGAAAATTGAGAAAACCTAAAAATCCTGTTTGACAAATATACAGGCAAAAAAGGGCACCAAAATACCTGCATCAGAGACATAAAAGTGCATGATAGAATATGCTTGGATCTGGACATTTCGGAACTGACATTATAGCATAGAGAAAGATGAAAATATGAAACTGGCATAAGTGTATACCTGTATCTTATGCAAGCGTTGGCTAGGATGCTAGCTGCAGAGCCGCAGTCGTTCGTGAAATGTTAGGTGGCTTATGAGTGGATGCATCTTTAGAAAACATCCATGTGAAGTAGAATCATTATTATTTGTACCACACAAAATCTTTACCTACGTGTGCATTTCAATTTGCAAGTGCTCGAAATGTGGAGCTCTCCTCCCGAGGGAGGGGGAGGGTCTATGTCTTTGGAAAAAAATTGTTGACCCTGTCCTGGAAAAAATTTCTGTAGACGTGAAATCTGTCCTAGAATGTAGTAGTGATATGTAAAAACAAAATTAAAACAAACCTGATGTAAAGCTCTATAGACCTCGAGGAAAGCCCACCACGCAATGTGTCTACAATGTCTTGAACATTGATGTCGACTCCTTTTTGGTGCTCCAATTTTTGTCGTCGTCCGGAGGCGAAAAAGTTCGGCCACGTGAAAAGGCTATCAAAATTAACGTACAGAAATTTAACTGATCATTTTTTGCCACCGATGTATAGTCAATGACTTTGCAAGATATACCATAAATTTCACTCAACTGCCATACACATTTAAACAGTCGCTTAAATCCTAATCATATTCAAAAGTTTTCAGACGGCTTAAAACCTCCTCTTCTACTTTGATTTTTGATTTATTACATGTTTCTGTTTTGCAACATTGTCTAACTTTTCAAAATCTAACCTGTCGCAGACTAGAGATCAAGTATGGAAACCTTGTAGCATTAAACCGTTATGAAACACGGCAAAACTCTAAACAATATTTTCCCCTTATTTCGGTACTTAAAGCAAATTCCCAACCTATGGTTGAATTACCTATAGGTACTTAAACCAAACAAAGCAATGAACAGATAAGCTTTATGATTATCTGATTGTAGCTGACAAGGGCTACCTCGCAGATTGTGAGGATCCGATGAAAAAGAAGGAGTTTTTCTTCCAACTTACCTGGAGTAAACGCCATTCGAGCAGCAAACAAATTTTGCCCGATTCTTGTCACCCATGCCACAGCAAACCATGTGGTACCAAGCTCTACACAGAGTGCATTGAATCCAAGAGATTGGAGCACTCTTCTCTTGAATGCATTTCAAAACTTTGTCTGCCATACAGTGCTCTTCCTCATTCACCAACTTGAATTCTGGCACTGACAAGTTAATATTCATTCGAGAGCCTTGAAGTAGATTTAAATCCCAACTTTAATAAGCAATTTCGAAAAATAAGTATTAATGGCATTTATAACACAGAATTGATCAGCTAAAACTGCTAAATTTTTGTAAATGAATTCGTTTCTCTGCCAGTTGTCCTGATAGATGTTTTTTGCTTCTAACGTATAAAACAAATAGATTTTGGAGATACTGACACATATTAAGGAATCAAAGTATCACGAAGTTGTAATTTCAAACTATAAAGTGAAAGCAAGAGTATGGTATGGTAATTGTTTCAAGGCATCTATCTTCAAATAATGCATTAATAATTATATTCAACTATTTGCCTCTAACGTGGTAGACCGGAATAACATGGTTTATCCTGTCCTCTCCATCATCTGCAAAGTTTGTCCACATTATGTTCAGAGAGCTCCCGTATGTTCGTTGCTCCGAACAAGGACATGGATTGACTCTGCCAGCGTAGCAAAAGCGATTTGAAAACTCGCAGTCCATGTTGATTGGGCGGTTAATAAGCCCAGAAATGAAATGCACTTGCAAGGGCCCTACCAGAAAAAGGGCAAATTAGTATACTATACATCAGTACGCAACTTGCTAACAGACTTTAAATGGCTTATTTCAGTGAAGCACAAAACATAAAATAAAATAGCACTAAAATATATATAGCCATACTAAACTTTATATGATAATTTTCAAAATATAATTTACCTGAAAATTCACCATTGATTGATGTTATCATTATCTCGAGAGAAATGACATGGTGAAGAAGCTCGTCTATAGATGGGCTGTTTTTTGGACGTCTTTCGTACGTAAAGCTACTGCAATTTTGGCTGAGAAATGCTGATGCCATATCAATATTTGACAGTTTTATTTCGAACTGAAACAAACAAAAAATTATGCGCAATAAAGATTTACTGGATGTCACTTTTGTTATTACCTCACAAAAGATTGATTTAATTCAGCTTTAAATGTGTAAATGAAGATTTCTTGATAAAAAGCTGCATTTGTATCTTTTTAAACGAATTTAGGTGCTAGTTTTAATTGTCTACTTTCAAAAGTCAATTTTTTCTCTGAAATAGTTCTCTCAACAGATAATTGCAGAATGTAAATGTTTCTTGAAAATAACTGACCAATAGCCTAACCTGTGATATTGCAGATCATAAATCAACATGCAATAAACACAGCCAAAGCCGACCAGGCTTTAGCCCCTCATTAATTTCTAATAATATCCATTGTGAATAGTAACCAAAATTTGCTGGAAACCATGAAAAAAGTTGCCTTGCTCTTGGTTTTTAGCAGGTTTAGCCCCCCGTCAAACGTTTTAACCCCCTCAATCTGTAATATGCTCCCCAAACCGTGGAAATAAGCCCGTATAAAAAGGCAGTAAAGGTACATACTCCATCAAAAAGATGATCGTAATGATCCACTGCAAACAACACAGAGCCAAGTCTTATCAGAGGTGCCATACACTCGTCCAGGGATAAAAGCCTAGCCGTCGAGTTGAATAGGCAATTACCGTCTCCGTTTGCCACACCTGGGATCAATCCATCTGGGACTTTATTCTGCAACCTAGCGAATGAATTATGAATTCATTTATGTACAGTGCTAGAGCAATGGAACTCGAGCCTGTGTAAATTTACAGGCACCACATTCATCGCTCTTCTCTCAGCCGCAAATATGAAATTCCTTCCGACGGTGCTGTATTTCTAGCATGAACTATTGCATCCGAAAAATTAAAGCTTACAACAAATCGTTTCAATTAAATTAATCAAAATAAAACAAAAAAAGTTTTGATACAAAGAAATTTATATTTAATCTGCACTGCGCAAACATTTTCCTTTAATTTTTCAAATAGAGCCTAAAAGAGCAATCTCCTTCATGGCGCAGTGCAGTGTAACAAAATTTTGGACAGATGATAAACATTTATACCACAATTCTCAAGACAAAACGACAAAATTGGATACAATGACCTGTGAAGACTTTTGGCAAATGGGGTAAAAATTTCCAGAGTAAATTTGGTACTGAGTATGTATAGCTTCTTGCTCTTCAGCCAGGTTGCCCCCTCATCTTCTCAACTACTTGAATTAGTTACAAAGTTGCTAGCATATTTTCTTTCTCCTGCAAAAAGGTTTGAATAGAAGTTGCTTAGAAGTTGCCTAATAGTTAAGCTTGAAAGTTCCATTTTTACCTGGCTTCCATCGACTTATCCTTTAGGTCTTTGAAGTAGGCCTGTTCACCAATTCCTAAAATTACCCCAATCAGCTCATCGAAAACATCCTCCTTTATTTCAGCTGCTGTCTCTTTGAATTCAGCCCATGATCCTATCAAGGTGTGTAGTCTTTGCAAATGACCCTTACAACGTGCAGACTATAAATGAAACGATGACGATATATCACGATACATAAAAAAGATAGACATTAGAGTTTCATTTTACAGTGATCATTTTTTCAGTAACAGATTTTTATTAACAAGACATTGAACATAGAAAGCTCTCACCAGTGTTTTCAAAGCTGGTCTTTGCGCAGAAGAGCAATTGGGTGGCATTCTGCTCGATCCAAGGTTTTGAAGTTCAGGCTCAGAACCCTGACAATCGCTGGAAAAATTATCATTGGGAGGGACTGGCTTGTTAACACCATCAGGCATATGGGTCTCCTCATCTTTGTTGGACTCCTTCCTTTCCTTCTTTTCAGGATTAAAACCCATACTTATAAGATGGTTTCGTAGGCAATCCCCCACCATCAAAAGATCTTTGGAAGACATAACAGTTTTGCCTTGAAACAAAAGCAAAATTAATGAAAAAATATCTTATGAACCACTTTAACAATTAATACTTAGGTTGAATGTTTAGTCAAACGTTATACTCAGTGGCTTAGATAAACTGCTGTCTTGTCGGAAATTTAACGTTGACGGGTTGGTTCTTTATTTTTATCTAAGATGTACATTTTGAGAGAAAAAATTTTAAAGGTGAATGTGGTGATTTTTTCTGTTATTCTGAATCAGATTGGCAATCTCTTTCAAAGAGAAGAAGACAAGAAAAATTTTCACGTAGCATGATTGATGACACGTAACTTATGTTCAAATTTATGAAAAAAGAAAAACTCTTATAAAATTTTTGTCGGAAAATCTAAATTGCACGGCTTTTCTATGAATTTTCCGATCTACGTCGCTAACTGGTTATACTTATTGATAGAGTTTTCTCAGAAAGGTTGGGAAACTATTGTTAAGATAATTTCCATATTGTCTAGTGAGAATTTATTTAGCTTCTACTCCAATAGTCCTTGAGGACACGTACATTGCTCTACTTAAAGTGTAAAATCTCTTGTAGTAAAATGGAGGTTATCCTCTAGAAAATGTAGAAAATTGCAACAGCTAACAGGCATATAAAAGCTATCGGTTTCTGAAATTCACTCAACGCTTTTTAGATTAGGAAACCATTTTTACTTACCATCTCTCTCGCGGAAATTAGGAGAAGTGAATGCGACGTTTTCTGGCCACCATTTTGGTTTCAAGCCTTCACTTTCCCAGATGCCTTTCTGTCCGACATTGTTACCTAACGTCATATTCACGATGATATTGCGCAGGTAGGCATTAGGGATTTTCTTTTTAGCTGAAGAAAGTAGTTTTAAATATAAGAAGGTTATAGCTTATTACCAAAGGCAGTGCAGTCGGAACTCGGTCACCTATTCTAACTCTCATGAGACCGAGAAATGTAGAGACTGAGAAAAGCTGTTCGAATAAAAGAATTATCGAAAAGTTTGGTCGAGTCAGAAAATGAAAAAAAGCTAAAAAGTTGACTAAAAATAACCTCAATTTATTATAGGAAAAGATTTCATTAAAAGGGGCTAAAACAGCTTGTTTCTCATTGTTTACCAAGTCCGATTCATAAACCTATCGGGTGTCAAATGATGAACAAAATATCACTGTGTCCCTTCAACAATCGAAAAAGATGCCTTGATTTTGCTCCAAAATTACAGTAGAAATGAAAAATCAAAATACATTAAATACATGGAATGGACAGGTCTGAAAAAAGCTTCTTTCTTATTCGAAAAGCTATAAATATATATATTAAAGCCTTTGGAAAATATAACCAAACACTTTGATAAGATAGTTTAAAGTGGCTTGAATGACATGTTTTGTATCACAATCATCGAGGTCCTGTCTGAGTAGTTAATCGATAGGACATGATTTTTCTAATAAAAAACCTTCCCCTGACTTTCGCTTACCTTATTCTATAATATAACAAGTCAGACCTGAAACTGAAAACGCTGTTTCTTATAAGCAGGGCACTAGAGTATCAACAACAGCAAACGGTTTGCTGTGATTCACGTTTTTACTGGTGCATCAAATTCAGTGTCGAAGTTATCAGGGGAGCCTACATTGAGGGGGGGGGTGGCTGGAGGGACAGCTGCCCTTGAATATACGACTCCCAAGAAAATATTATAGAATCTTATAGATAATTGATGACAACTTTGACCACTCTCGTTATGTTAATTACAATGAAAAATTTTTAAAAAAAGACAACACTGATGGGCCGCTGGAGCGAGAGCGGCAAAAAACAAAAGACTTGTTCCCTCAGAAGTACTCCAGGAACCTAAGAAGGGTAAATCGGTACTAAAACGTAGCAGGAAATCAATTTTTACAACCTGCCCATTTATAACCGCATTGATTTATATAAAACCAAACATTGTGGAAAGTGACAAGGCAATTCAATACTCACTTGTATGTATGGAGGACATCGTCAACATTTTCCCTACGTTTAGAATCTTCGATGGCAAAGGACCCGGCTGTATGGGTGGCACATATTCATATTAATATTCTATTATGCCCCTCCCTCCAAGAATACTCGATTATGTTACTAGAAAAATCTATGACTTGCCCTCAGCACCAACACTGCCCCTCCTGCCTTACTTTCATGCAGGCGTCCCAGGATATTGTAGTGCCTGCTGAAATCACACAAGGATCAAGAGAATTTTAACACGCAATAACAGCGAGTTCGACCTTTCATGAGGTTTAAGTATCGTAGAAATTGATGGGAATTTGGAATCTTTTGCCGAGAATTTTTGTCTATGAAACAGGGTATCTGCAAGAACCTCAGAAATAGTAAAAATTATTTATTCCCGACCTCCGAGTATCAAATTTATCAAGTCAGGCCCTTACAAATTCTGCTCTGCATTTTTTAGCTTTGCTTTTCATTATAACATCTTATTTAAGTCAAAAAACAGAATCAGGCATCTTGTAAAGACCTCGAAAGCATAGAGATAAACGACCAAAAAGGGTTGCAACACCAAGAGACGAAAGGTATTTTCTATAGCTATGCAAAGCAACAGGTTTGAATCGTCGCAAATGGCTGAGAAGAAAAAGGGCTAATTTAGTAAAGAATAGTTAATCATCGTATTTACCTCTCAGTGGTGTTCTGCAGTAAAAAAGCAGCTTGAGTAAGTGTCTTACTATGTTTTTCGTTGGTTAGGTAAACTCTTTTTGCTGTACTATTTTTTTTAAAAAAGTTTCATTGCAATGCACATTAAAAATGAAAAATAGGAAGAAATCTCTAAAGAAATCTCTAAAAAGGCCACTCAACTTTTGTTAATACTTTGTTTATAAATTCAAAATATTCGTACGAATCCTGTTTTTTTTATTATAATTAAAAAGTTGGCGTTTTTTCCAGCTCATAAAATTTTTTGAGGATACTTAAACCTAGATTGCGTATAGAAAATAAAGTTCGCATATCTGGGCGAAACGGAATCAAATTCGTTGACATAATTCTCTTATCAAAAAATCCCGAAACTTTTTTAGCGTAGTGTGTTTAGTCAAGAAGATTTCCATTTTCCGCGCGGATTGAAAATGAAACTATTGCAGGTAATTGAGAACCTGTACAACAATTGATGCAAATAGTTAAAGCATATCTGTTTTAATCCCAATAAAGGCAAATTTAGAAATCATATCTTACCAAGAAAATCATCAAAAGTGTCCTCTTCAATGTTTTCGATTTTTTTTAATTTGGTGCCGGTGACATGTGTCTTTTCAGAGTCACGCAAAAAACTGTCCACAAGTTCTTTTACTCCCGCTTCGTCCAGTTTCCGAACTAGCTCTGGGTGTCCTAAAGAATTTTTTCAATATCTTTATCACTTCAGCTAAAGCAGCCGAAATTTTCAAATGCGTGGCCGGTGACAATTGTGCACCTTTACAGGCCTTACAACACAAGCGGAATATAAAAATTGTCAACAGTGTCCAAAATAAATTCAAGACATTGGCATAAGCAAAAGCAGCATGAGACAAAAAAGACAAAAACTGTGAAACATTCTGAATATCCTTGTTATAAAAAGCATGCACCTTTAAAAGACACAAGATAAATTCAAGCTCACAATATTGCATGATATCTTCCTAAAATTTCAAAAACGTCACATTTGTTATCTTACAGTTACACTTCTACCCTGATTTTTATTGTCTTATTTGTTATTGTTGCTCTTGTTGTTGTTCAATAAACTTGCAATGAACTAGAGACTACGGACCGAATCACATCAAGAATGTTCATTGTGGTAGTAACTATAACTTTTAATTAAATTCTGAAAATAAAATGCACCAATAGCATAAAAGTCGTAAAAATAATGTCATAATTCTGATTTTAATCATTATCCTTAATTGGAAAATTGCTTTGATTTTAATTCCTCAGAATTTTTACTCTTTAAGGAGTCCACCTTTCTTCCAAACATATTCCAATCCACTTGAATTAAAATTAAGTTTCAAAAGGGTACTTTGGAATTGGTAGAAATGTAAATTTATGTTCTTTAAGTCAAGTTAGTATAGACAGCAAGCTCTGTGCAGTCTCCTTCCTAGAACAAAGAATGAAATCTTTTTACTTTATTTTACCTTTCATATTAACTTGTCCATTGAGCAAATATAAAAACAAAATTGGTGGTGGTGAGTCACTTTTGTCATTGATCCATGAATCAATCTGAAAATTCAATAGTTTTAATAAAAGTGTGATTATTGCTTGAAACTAAACCTACCAAATAACAAAGTATAGTATTAACATTACAAGCAAACAAGAATCTATGGATGCAATGGCTATGTCTATTTACTAGCAGCTTTCATTGACTGTTGGCATGGTCATTTTTCTTCAAAAATGCAGGGGTGGCCTAAAGTTTCCAACTACTGCATAAATAAAAACATTAGTTTGAGTATTTCATGATTCTTTCTCATCTTCATTATTGATAACCTTGGTAAGAAATTGCTGAAATGTGGACTTCAAAATTTTCTCGGCATACAGTTGCAAAACAAAGACAAAGTAAAGTTTTGGGATATAAGTTGAAATAGGTTTGTTCCTGGTCTTTGGCAGAGTGCATATGCATGACTCTTAAATGATCATTATTTTCTGTTGTGGGGCCTGCAGTTTTTTAACGATAATGCAAGCAAATTGATGGAAGTAAATGCTTAATACAACATACAATCTGCTTGTTTTCATAACAATTCTTATCAAGCAGCTTGTTTGTTTGCGCATAAGCATTTGGCTATGAAACCTTGTGCACATTTTCATCATTCACCATCTAGCTTATATCCAGTGTGCAATTTACATAGACCCCACCCTTGGTTGACCCTAACAGTATGGTGAGTCACATATGACAGTATGGTGAGTCACATATGACAGCAGAAATGTGTGTTCTTCCATGTGAGACCACAGAGGATGTTCTTCCATAATAAGATTCCATAATAAGAACCCATATGTATATGAGACATCCTCTAAAGTTCTTTGAAATGTCCTCGTGTGCCTGACTTAGGGTGGGAGAGGAATTTGACAAAGAACAACTTATGAGACAATAATTTTGAAAATCTCCAACATTTTCAGACTTCCCAAATAACATTTTGATGAGAAGATATAAATATGGTTAGATACGATTATTTTTTAAAGAGATTACACCCTATTACCTTATCAATTTAAGAACAAATCAAAACAATCTAGCATCAGATTTTCGAAAAAAATTAAAACAGTCACCTTTTCAGCAAACCCTTCCCCCTGGGCCCCGCCCCCACGAATATTAGGCCCAAGACCCAAGTACCTACTAAAAAAGTTAAATATACATGCCCGGTCGGATAGACCTCTCACTTTTCTTGCGTACATTTGCCGCTCAACAGAAATTTTGCTCCGTTTCCTTTTATTCACTGTTTTTTCCTGAGCATTAGACATGGCTGTTACTCGTTTTGACACATAAGATAAGATCCTTACAAGATGTTGTAGCACGACACGTGATTTTGTACTTACTTTTGGTATAGCCTCCTTCACAAGAAAACCCACACGTGTGGGTCAACAGAATTGGTTGACAAAAATACCTCGCTTATGGCAGTGCAGATAAACGGTACAACATAGGCTGAAATCACCAATTCAGTTCCATCCTTGCACTTCACGCTGATC